GTCAGCGCAAGCTCTTGGAACATGAATGGAATTGTGGTTTTGGCATGGATGCTCTGGTGATCGTATGCTCTAGGAACACGAACGGAACTATGGGTTTGGCCTGGATGTTCTGGTAATCGCATTCACTCGAAGAGGAACGGAATTATGGTTTTGGCATGGTTGCTGTGGTGATCGCACTCACTGTTCGAAGAAGGAAACCCGCTGAAAGTCCGAAAAGTGCACGAAAACACACGGGCGGCTGTACACCGCGGTCCAACTACACGGCCCGCAGGTCAAGCCTGGTCAAGGGTCCGTCTCGGGTGGCCAACTGCGTCTCGCGAGACTTTAACTTCGAAGCGTTGATATGTGGTCTAGGCAAGCTGTTATTGAGAAAGTATTCTTACGCTTGAATATGGTATCAATGCCAGCTTTGTTGCAAGAGTGAGGTCCTAGCCAAGCTTTATGCACCTGAAAGGTGGAGTGCGCCTTTTGCTCGCAGCAGCAGAGTAGTGCCGTTTAGATTACATTTCGCCAAAGAAACTTGAGGCTTCATTGCACAATGTTTTTCTGAGCCTGTGGGTCGCTTAAAGGGGCCCAGCCCTGCTCCTGACAGTCGTCAGAAGCCTATCAGCGTAGCGTGAGGCTGTAGCTCTGGCTGCATCCACCTGAAGGGTGGATTGGACTGTCTGTGTCTGACGTGGAAAAGCGCCATTCCATGCTGACGGGCTGAGCTTGAAGCTTCCTGGTGTACTCGGTTGGCGGGATGGAGGCTTCCCACAATTTAGGTCTAAACCCATGTGCTGCTCTGGCATGAATTGCTACGCACTGTCACGGTCCAGAAGTCCTACAAATTGTGTAGACGTGGATCATCTGAGGCACCTTTGCAAGCCTGCCAGTGGCGAGGCATCCCGGGCCGAGCACTATCCGCCCCTGGGCAAGCTCGCTGTTTCAACCGTCGCAATGCACTATATCATCTTAACTAGAGAATCAAGCATCCGGAAACAGGAGCTACGATAAGGCGTCTAGATAGGAGTTGAAGTTACACGTGCCGATGGGGGAATTTCGGTTGACCGTGAAGGAGTCAAGAAGGTACGCACCCTTCAACGGCACCGTAGACCCAAAGAAGCTGCAAACCATACCCATGTGCTCACGAGATTTTGAGGATATCTGAAACGCATGTTTGTTTCCAGATCTTGTGGACTACGCTCTGGGAGACAAATGGAAACACCTTTGGCAATCTGAACCCCCATTCCCCCAAGAATGGGTTTTCCTCATTTGCTGTGGCGCGTTATGCCAATATGTATTATGATAGGAACTGCGACCCGCTATTTGGGGGGAGGTGGTCCATAGTGTCACAGTCACAGGGCAATTTCAGACCTCCGGTGCAGGAGCGCCCCAGAATTAAAGGTTTTGCATGCAAGGTCCTAAGGAAGCCGGCAGCACAAAGGGTTTGGCGGTCCGGGCAGGGGAACATGTCCCAAAAAAACTCTTGCCGTTAATGTGCAGAAACTGGTTAGGCCCGTAAAGCGAAGGTTGGCCGTGAGGGGGCCATGAGAAGCTGACGCAGTCCTTGCAGTACGTGTTGCATGTATCCGTTAGAATTCTTTTGAAACAGATGACAAATTCTTTTTTTTTCCCAGCGACCTTTTGCAGATCCAAATTTTTTCTGGCCTCCCGCGCCGAAAAACCCTAAACTCGCCAGGGTAAAGCACCTGGCACAGGCAGCCATGGTTCGCAGGCCTTTTTCCTGACACTGGCACCCAGGCGCTTTGCTTTGCCGCAGGGTTCCTATAAAGCAAGAGGGACATAACCTTCCAGTTCGCACACATTCGCGGGTCATAGCCTGAAGTTCCAGCGCGACCGGCTTCTTACCGTGGCTTGGACTGGGATAGTAAAAGGCTTCCGTTTCTTCTCGTGGGAAGTATGAACAGTCAACCAGTGGTAAACCCTGGACACTGATCTGGCATTAGCTGAAACGTCCTAAACTAGGCACCCCTATCTTTAGCAACTCCTCAGCCAAAAAACATCATCCCAAACCCCTGCCCTCAACCTTGCCACCCTCGGTTTTTGCATAGCCTGCCAGATTAGGTCCCAAAAATACTACAGCTGCAAGCCTTAAGCCGGAGACCCGAAACCTATGCTCTAAGATACCATGCCCCGATACTGCAGGCAGCGGTGGAGCCCTTCTCAGACCCGACCCCCGGTTCACAGGACAACTGGGGATGCGGGTTGAGGTTTTAGAGTTTGGGGTGTACGGTCGACTACTTAGATGATTTGACACACTACAGTTGCACTGGGTTTGTCTGAGCCACTCGCACGAAAAATGGATGTCTCGGTTTTGTACAAGAGTGGCAAGTTGGATAAAACGACTATGGATCCACACAAAATGGGTAAACAGATGCTTTGTGCAGCCTTCCTTTGGAAGTGTGTCTTGCCAGGCCTAGATTTCAGCACCAGGTTTAAACAGGGGTTGGCGGTTGACGGTCTAGGGTTTCGAGCTTGCACGCAGGAGTTGATTCATCTTACTTCGTCTGGCCCAGTTAACGTTAAGTCGAGCGTTGAACATGGAGCCAGAGCTGTGGAGTAAGTACTGTTGCAGTTGAAGGTGCTTGGTCTCGGCTGGCAGGTATTCCTTGTTGAAATGTATTCGGCGATGCACCCGGACAGAACCCAGAACATGCTAGAACTCTGCCTTCTTCATGCAGCCTCGAAAAACCCCGGTGGCACTGCAGCTTGCAGCAGAAGTGCGATCCAGCAGCAGGCTGCCGCTGTGGGACTAAGGGCCTTCAAAAGCAGCAAGATTTCATGTTTTTTCTGACAAGACTAGAGTGTGTAGCAGCACACCAAAAAGTAGTCCTACAAGGGCCTGAGCACAGATTTCGTGCGAGGCTGCCGAGGGGCTCAGGAGCGTGACGTAACTCCCCGGGCTTTTGGCCGGTGCTCTCAGGCTTTGCTGATCTAGGTTCTCGGGGTTCTCGGGGCCTGTGCTGACATCCCGAATCTTAAAGAAAAAGCCAGGGCCCTTTAGGGTTTAAGGTTCAGCCCTTAAAAAGCTGAGTTGCCTTAGTAACAAACCCCCGCAGGGCCAGACGAAACAGACTGCCTCTGTGGAGCCGGGCGGGCTGCGCAAAGTCGCCCCAGGGCGCCCCGAGGTGCGCGGGGACGACCAGTACAGGAGCCTAGGCAAGTACTCATGCTCTACCAGCTTGAAAGATTCCAGACTACCACGAGGTAATGGCGATACTTGTTTATTCTCGGGACTTTGGGAGAACGGCTTCTAGGAATTACGGCTTGGAGACTTGGGTTTTGAGGATTTTCAGGCTGAGGTCTTGGGTGCAGGAATCTTTTTGAGATAGGGTTTGGTGCGAAGTGCGAGGGTATGCGAGGGTGGAATGTTTGCCTGGCTTTGGGTTCGGAAGGCTTGGGGATGTTGGAATTCTAGGCCATGAGGTTGGACCCTACAACGAATGGGTCCCATCCATCAGCCCCCTGGACGTCACAGCCATCAAACCCCTTTGGCCCTAATGCCTGCATGCACGCATCAGCCCGAAGACCCGGCGAAACCCGGGGAACTAAAACCACAAGCGCAGACTTTACCACCCTACAGCCACCCCCCAAGCCCTCAACCGCAAACCCGTGCACGCCCAATGCCAGACTGAAGCTAGCCCCTGAGCCCTCACATGTCATACAGCCTAAACGCTGAATCCCCAAGCACGCAAGGCGCAGGCAGAGCTCGTTCCAGCGACGGCGCCCGTCCCACGGCCGATGCCAGTGCCGGTGCCTCCTGCTGCGGCCTCTGTGGCTGAGCCGCAGTTTTTTGGGTTTACAGTTTTGAGGTTCTGGATTTCTGAGTTTAGGGTTTAGGCTTCGGGGCCTGGGGCCTCCGGGGTCGTGGATGATGTAGCGTGGTTTGGGGTTTGGAGTGTTGGGTAGTAGAGCCTCTTCTGTGTCGACGCTTCAAGCGTGACGGCGGGAGGGTTGAAACTGCAACTGCTGCCTGTGGGAAAGTGGCCTTGGAGAGCTAAGAGAGGCATTTTTCATACATGTCGGCGCCCCACCCATTCCATCCCTGACAGTATACGCCGTGCGGTAGGTCTCCCGGTTGATGTCAGGAATGTTGAATTGTTGCAGGAGATGCATCATAGTTTCTTTGCCAGCCCTTCTCCCCACACCTGTCCACAGGATTAGCAGAGCTCCTGGCAACTTCTCTGCCCGGCAGGTAACCGCAGGTGTACCAGCGCCAGCACCGCCAAAGGCTCGGTGTTTTGTGCCGGGGCTCGCACTGAAGCAAACAAGGGCTTCAGTCCTAGGCCCTAGGCTCCCTAATGTATCAGGCGATGTGCTGCGGTCCGATTTGTTATAAATTTAGACGTGAAGTCTTCTCCGAGTTGGAAACGCCCTGCTCAGCCAAGGTCAAGATGGACTTTTGCCGTGCATTTTGCCTGCATGCCAGTGTCACAGGACACCCATTTATGTATACATAGATGTATGCATGTGTGCGTGTATGTAGTCAGAAGACGACAGAGTCGTAGTGGACTTGCCCTGGCCAGTTGTGGTCGCAGGTCAATCACATCAGATTCTGGAAAGCTGTGCTGTACAATCCTCTGCCTTTGCGCGGGTTCTTGGGCCCCAAGCACAGGTCTCATCCTTCACTTTGAAGCCCTAATCAATCCCTCTAAATGCTCCTAAAGTTGTACGGAACCCTTTGCTTCCCTATCTGTTTTGCAGGTGAGTTCTTGTTGTACAATGTCTTGAACTTCCTTTATGGTCGTCCCTCTATAGTCCAGGGGTTCTTTCAGGGTCCAGGCTACGGCCCGCAGTGCAAGGATTCCATTGCTTTTCAGTCTACTTCACGGGGGCCTATCCTTAGTTCTGTGTTGGGCAAGATCTTCCGTGGGTCACTCTCCATGTCGAAGGCGCCTACGGAGCAACAGAGTTGCGGTCCCGAATGGCCTAAGCTACGCACGCCCTGTGCTCATTGACGAGATGGGAGTTTCCAGAAAGTGGGCCCCGGGAATGCGATCTTTCAGAAAACGGGCAAGTACAGCCACAATCATGAAGTCTCCATTTATGGAACCTGCCTATTCAGCAGGGGCGACTCATGAATCAATGCTATTTGTATAGCAGACAAACGAGACAATTTCAACCAGAGAAAAGAAATCTTCAACTCTGGGGCCTCGAACTGCCGGCACCTCTCGCAGCACTGCTGAGGATTGGGAGGGCTTCGCAGGGACACTTCGGTACAACCAGCACGTCATAGACACTCTGCTCGCAGCTGCGGGTGCGTGGGGGGGTGGGGGTGGGGTAGGTGTATGTTTGGTCTGTAGACTCGTATGGTGCTCTTCGATTCAGGAGTAGATAATAGTAGATATCTATAGTGTAGACCCGCATGGCGCTCTCGGGTTCAGTTCTAGAGTTCGATGCTAGGGGCTTCAGGACTTTCTTCCCAGGGTTTTCTAACTCCTGCGCCGCGCGTGCGGCCTTAAAGACCAAGGGGTTTTCAGGTTGGGAGAAACCTCTGACTCTATCAGTCTCCATGGCTGGTTTCGCCAACAGCTTCGAATCTTGCACTTTGAAGCTGCAATCGTGGGGGATGTGAGCAGCAGCTCGGAGGTTCAGGAAATTTCAGGCGCGCTAGTTGAGGAGCATACTTGGAGGCAGGGCGAACGATGGTGGTGGGGCTTAAACAGACCATGTTCGGATGATGTTACTAATCCTCTCTAAACCCTCCCCCCAAAAACATTAAGTACTCCCTATATAGTATTCGGTAGTATTAGGGGAGGCAACTACTAAAGCAGTCTCCGGAAGCGCAGACTTGCTGGCCCGACCGTCACCGCGCTAACGTCAGCAACGGCTCCGCACCTCAATCCAACAGGGTCCTAAAGAGGAAACCACAAGAATCTCCAAAATGCCCCCAAAAGAGCACCTCATTAGGCTGATCTAAGACTAGATCTCCAAGCCTGAGAGCTAGCTATTCTTTGTGGTACGCGGGTCCCATGCCCACAAGGCCGCGGCCGTGAAGTACGGCTGCGCCTACGTCTGCTCAGAGCACCCGAGCTGGAAGACCGCCTCGCACAACACGGGCGCGGTGGACGACTGGCGCCTCGGCAAGTGCGCAAAGGAGGGGCTGGCATTGCCGGTTTGGGTGCTAAGGGGGGCTTAAAATGTTTAGGGGTTTAGTGGACCCAGCTACTGGTTCAAAAAAGGGTTTAGTGGATGAAAAGGGGTCAGGGGTAAGGGGTGAGGCAAGGCTTCAGGGGTTTGGTCTGGTGGTTTGCCATCAGGTTTCTGTGCAGTTCTTGCGCCCCCACTCTATGAAGAAGTAGGATCCTGCCTGGACTTCTTTTTTGGACAAGGACATTACACTGCTTTTGAGTTTTCAGCTCTGTGCCGAAATACCGAGATGCTATTAAGGCTTTAATTGCTTGGGGCATGTAGGGTCTAGAGTGCTTGGTGCGTGATGTTCAAGGTTTGCAGTTCTGCAGTGGGTCTGTTTGCCTAAGCGAAGACACGCGCCACAGCAGGATCTCGTCACTAGGACAGGTTGGGGTATTCCGTCGATGTGTTTTTTGGATATCCACTCGCCGTGGTCGACAGCTTTTTTCAAACTCTGTCTGTTACGTGGACCTTCCTGAAAGTTTACAGTTTACAGGATACATGTCTCATGTCGTGTTGTATGCCGCAGGTCGTGCCCTCTTACTTGCCGGGTTCAAGCACCAGGATCCGCACGCACTGAGAAGCCCCAGGCCAAACTATGGGACTTCAAGTCAATGGCACCCTTTGAAGAAAAACCAGAACCAGGAAGCCAAAACGAACCCTTATTCGAAAATCCATTTAGACCAGTTGTAAACTAGCCACTTACCACTCTAAACCCTTCAACCTCTAATGAGTCCCTGGCCTAGAGACTGTGGGAAGACGAGTCTTCGGACAGTACTAGGCTATTGCCCTGCAAGTGGTCGCCGGATCGCTTTTGCTGTTCTGGGGACTAGGTGGGTGCCAAAACCGTAAACCCTGAACCCTGAACCCTAAATCCTAGACCAACATGAGACCTTGCCATGCTGCATCAAGCCAAGTGACCAAACCCAGATCCCCATGTTACCTTGCAAGAGACAGGCCCTAAACACTCCCCACCTGAAGCGGTCCTTTCCGACGATCCGCGCAGGTTCGGCTGCTTGAAAGGCCTGGCACAGAGGGCCTTGCACGTCCTTGTGTTAGGGTTTAGGGTTCAGGGTTAAGGGTGTAGGGATCAGGTTTAGGCATGGTTTCAGGCGGCTCAGGCTTAGGGCGACATTGGGATTTAGAGTTTTAGGATTTAAACCCTTGAATCCTAGAACCTAAACCATCAAAGTCCTGCATCCCAAGCCCTTAACTCCTAAATCCAAAAGCCTAAACCTTTAGTTCTAAAACCTAAACCCTGTAAAACCTGAATCCTAAAGCCTAAACCTCTCTAAGACCTAAATCCTGAAGCCTAAACCCAGTATAACCTAAATCTGTAGCCATAAGCCCCTACATCCTAAAGCCTCAACCCTACGTGAGAATGTATGAATTTGTTTGCTTCCTGCTGCCGGATGCTGCCAGGATTGCCAGCCAGATTCAGGATCAGATCTTGTATGGATGTTGATGTCACATGCTCGTTGCTTGCCGCCTTCTGTTGGGCATATTTGCTCGCCAGCTCTCTTTTGGGTGCTCGAAAAGCTGCATAGCTCGAGCGGCCAAGCAGCAAAGCCTTTGGTGGAAAGGCTTGTGCACATTGCCGTGGTTCGGCTTTGCCGTCATGATCCTGTGAAGCTGTCCCCGTGCACGAGCCACGCACGCTGTGCAAAAGCTTTTCTTGAGGCTAATGCAGGCCACGCAGATTCGCAGCATGACATACTTCATACAGCCCGCTAGCAAAGGCAATTTCACCAGCAAACTATGTTGGATGTGCGTGAAGCCATTGGTGTCCATGCCTCGAGGTTCTCTTTCCGAAGGCGAAAATGGCCAGATCCCTAAGCCCAAAGCCCTAAGCGCTAAACCCTAAGCGCAGATGCCAAGGTCAGCGTTGAACTTGCAGGCATGGCGGCTCTACTCTGTACGTTTAGAAAGCCGTCGCAAAGCCATGCGACCTGACAACGGCAGCTTCTAAAAGCACAAAGCTTCTGTGCCGAGGGCGACGGAAGACAAGGACAGTTCTTCCCCGTACCTTCCTTGCGGGTAGGGCTTGGTCCTGTCTTCGACGTTTTGACATCCCACCACGTTTCGGCAGGAGGTCAGGCTTCAGGCATTCTGCTGAACTCTGCAGATTCACATTGCAAAAGCCGCCTCGCATCCAAAACAGCCCCAGATGGCCAGCATGGAACTAATGGCATCAGCCCCAGATGGCGCAAGCATGTCGCATGTATAAAGCCGTAAACGCTTTGTGAACCTGGTGCCCTGGACTGTGAGACGCTTGTGGCAAAGTCGCCTTGAAGCTTGACAAGGAATTGCCATTCCCTAGACGGTCTAGGGTTTAGGGTTAACGGTTTAGGGCTAAAGCCAAGCGGCTAAAGCCCAAGCCCTATAACCAGAAGCCCACTCAACTTGCGCGACTCTGGGTGACAGTCCAGCACGCCGCATTGCGAAGCTCTGCGCGGATAGATCGGCGGCATAGTGCGAGACCCATGGATGCTTACGCCCTGGGCCTACCGTGCCCAAGATGAAGGTTTAGGGTTTGGGCTTGAGGGTTTGGGGTTCTAGGGTTTAGGGGTGGGGTTCTCCAAGCAACAGTGCTGAGGTCAGGCATCTGTTTCGAGCATGTGCTCGCAGAACAGGGTGCAGTTTCCTTTCAATTACACGTAAGAGCATGCCTTTAACGATTGACTTCAGTACGACCTTGGCTTAGGTGCCGAAATCCAACACAGCTTGTCCGTTTGCGAAGGCAGACGCTTGTCTCCCGCTATGTGAGCTCCCATCTTGTCTTGCACTGTGCAAGTGAAGCAGATGGCAGAGCAGTTCCGTTCTGCTCCCCGACACTGGCTGGCAGAAGGAGCGATTTGCGTGCGTGACGCAGGTGTTGCGATCGCCTCGTTGAAGCTGAAGCAGCACCATTTCCGGCGTCTTTCGCAGCGTTTTACTCGCTGTCTCACCCAAGCTGATTTTTCATGTCTGTGGAGGCTGCAGGCTTGTCGCCGAGCCTTAGCTTCCGATGTGTTGGTCTGCAGGGATGCACCTTCCCCAGCTACTGTGAACTGAGCATCTCGTTGGTGCTTCAAGCTGCTTTTTCATGAGGCGCCATCTTGATACATGTGCAAACTTCGCCTGGTTTCAAGCTTAGTGGCACTGTAGCAGTGGTAATGTGCTGCAATCATGCAACCTCGTCGTCTTTCGAGCGTGTGTATTCGCTGCTTCAACCCTTTCAAGCATTTCCATTTCGTCTGAAGTGCATCGACATGCACGGCACGAAGGGCGACGGAGTGCATTTTCCAGCGGCCGGGTTCTGCTCCCAGTCCAGAAATAAAGGCAAGTCCATCTCCGTGCGCGGTCGCTTCTGGCGAATCTGCTCGCCACCTGGCCTTCGGCACGTCATCAATGCTTGGGGGACCCGCCCTTCTGCCCTTTTCCCCATGCCCTAAAAACGTGAGCTCACACCACGACCAACGCCGAGGCACACGGGGATGACAATGAACAGGCTTACGGGGACGGTGCCCTGTAACAGTCCGAGGCAGGTTGGTTGTCATTGCGCCATGTGGGAGTCCCACGGGATGGCGTTGCCAGGAGCTGTAGTTTAGTGCGGGGATGCCGTTGCTGTCTGCTTATGGGGGTATTAGTGGTGTTGAGTGATGGAATCCCTCCTAATTTTACAGGCTCCCTTTCCCATGCCTCAACCAACATGGTATTCCAGACTCCTCTTCAGGGTGACGGAAACGGGGCGATCAAAAAAAGACTGAAGCCCAAACATGAGCTAAAATCCCAGCATCGCGCCTTCGTAGCCTCGCACGGCGCCAGTATTCGTTGAGGGGGGCCGATGTCCCATTGGGGCTCGCGCGGGAAGGTCGAGACCGTTTCCCTGTCCTTTGCAAGAGTTCTTAAAAAACCACCGGTTTCTGTAGTTCGGGTTTAGGGTTTAGGGACAGATCATTCGAGAAGCCATCTGCTTCTGTAGTTAGGCAGTCTCATCATCTTCCGAAGTTGGCCCATCTTGCGGTTTCATTAGACATTGCGAACCTTCAAAGCTTGCCCTGCGCGATCCATGTCTGTGATACAGCTGTAGTTGGCAGCTCCGTGTCTGTTGGGCCTGCAGCTTCCGAGCCTATCCTCACGTTACCATGGGACCCACTGCTCCGCGCTTGCCCCCCCAAAAATGGCAGACATGCGATCCGGGAAATCCAAAAGCCTACTTAGGGTTAGACCCAAAAATTAAGGGGTCATAATCTACTGTTTCGTGGGGTTTGGAGTTACAGGGTGTCAAACTGCATGGAAGGAAGGTCACCCGATGGATCAATCCTGGGCCTTTCTCGCATCTTCATGTCTTGCTCACACTGCTAACCCTAAATCCTTAACCGTAACTCTCAACCCAAAACCCAAAACCCAAAACCCTAAGCACTGCTATGGTGAGCTCGGAGCGGGGGGGTTTGCCGCGTAGATTTTCGCTGTCAGCCTCAACTGCCTCGTCACCCTCGCCAAAGGGTCAAGGTTGGGCTTTGCTCGCTCACGTTACCATGGGGCCCACTGCTCCGCGCTTGCCCCCCCAGAGCCGCCATGGCTGACATGCGATCGTGGGGATCCGGGCGGTTTGCCGTGCAGATTTTCGCTCTCAGCCTCAACTGCCTCCTCACCCTCGCCGATGGGTCAAGGTTGGGCTTTATTCGCCTCATCCAGGCTTTGCACCGTGGATTCTGTGCTTCTTCGCTCTCAGCCTCAACTCGCCGTGGTAGGCTGAGCTCCCCGAAGACTTCTGCTGGAGTGATAGTTTCGCTGTGTCGTGACCCCCGTTCTTTGGGGGCTTCGATGGTAGGCCGCCTGCACGCAAAGGGACAGTGCAGCACCTTTCGGGCCTTTCACGGTTCATTGCGTGGCTGTGGAGCGTGCAGGCATGTCGCTCTCCTGTTGGCCTTGTCTGTCTGCTTTCGCAGGCGTCCATCCTTATGTGCCGCAGACGGCCAGCCAGCAAACGCATCTGTCTTTGTCGCTTCTTCAGGTCTTGTTCGCCGTGCTAGGCTGAGCCTGCCGGCTCCTTCTGCCCTCAAGTGAAAGTTTGGCACTGTCGTGAGCCCCGATCTTTGTGGGCTTTGATGGCAGCTTGTCTGCAAGCGAAGGGACACAGCACCAGCTTTGGTGATCTTTACGGCCCACTCACTCGGTCCCAGGAGGTGCGAGTCTGTCTTGCGTGGCTGTGGAGCGTGCAGGCATGTCGCTCTCCTGTTGGCCTTGTCTGTCTGCGTTCGCATGCGTCCATCCTTATGTGCCGCATACAGCCATACAGCGGGCCAGCATGTGTCTTTGCCGCTTCTTGAGGTCTTGCTCGCCGCGCTAGGCTGAGCCTGCCGGCTCCTTCTGCCGTGGAGTGGAAAGTTTCGCATTGTCGTGAGCCCCCATGTTTGTGGCTTCGATGGCAGGCCGTCTGCAAGCAAAAGGACATTCACGAGGATGCAGGCTTGTCGCTCTCTTTCGGCCTTGTCTGTGGATCCGGCCTGAGCTCACCGTGCTAAGCCGAGCCTGCCGGCTCCTGCCAGAGCCGTGAAAGTCCGCATTGTTGTGAGCCGCCATGTTTCGGGGCTTGGATGGCAGGCTGTCTGAAGGCAAATGAGCTGGCAAAGGGACAGCGCACGACTTCGGGGGTCTTTTGCGGTTCGCTCGTTCCCAGGAGATCCGAGCCTCTCTTGCATGGCTGTGGAGT